CAGCAGCAGCGGCGGTAGCAGCAGCAGCAGCAGCTGGAGTGTAAATGCAACCGAGAGCACTTCTGCTGCGCTGCAGATGATGCATGAAGGCCGCCAGGGACAGACCCGGGCAGAGTTTGCCGTTCCTGTTTCTGTTGTTTGTTCTGTGGGCTTGGTGGAGAGCTGCGTGCGATCGAGGTGTATGTACACCCCAGAAGCAGCAGAGGTTGCAGCAGCTGTACGCACAGCAGCAGAAGGCATCATACTGCGGCGTCTATACACCCAAACACGCATCACCATCTCTATTCTTGTTTTCGCGGATGACGGCTGTAAGCGGCTCTCTCCTCTTTCAGGTGTACATACACCTCAGCTGCATGCATGCACCAACCAACAAATAAATATAAACACACCTTCGTCTTGTTCTTGCTGCTGCTTATGCTCCGTGCAGTTGCTGCTGATGCTGCTTCTCTTGCTGCTGCTGCATGCGATGGTTGCTGCTCCTGGTGCATCCATTGGTGCATGCGTTAGTTGCTGCTGCTGCTGCTGCTGCTGCTGCTGCTGCTGCTGCTGCAGGTGTTCTTGCAGCCTCTCTTATGGCTGCTTCTCTCGCTTTGGCTGATGCAGGTGGGTTTAGGGTTTAGGGTTTAGGGTTTAGGGTTTAGGGTTTAGGGTTTTGGGTTTGTGTTTGGTGTCTGTACACCCCAGTACCGCAACAGCTGTTTATACTTTTTGCTGCTCCTGCTGCTGCAGCCTAGAGTGCATGCAGCGTGTTCTTGCTGTTATATATTTAACTCTGCTGCTGCTGCTGCTGTTGCTGCTGCTGCTGCTGTTGCTGCTGCTGCTGCTGTTGCTGCTGCTGCTGTTGCTGCTGCTGCTGTTGTTGCTGCTGCAGGCGTTGCTATGAGGGACTTAATGCCTGCATGCACCGTGCTGCTGCTGCCGCAGCACCAGCAGCTGCAGCAGCACGAGCCGCTGCTGCTGGTAGACCCAACCACCGACGAGATCCGCACAGGGGGCCCCTCGCTGACGCTGGGGGTTACAGCTCAAACAAACAACGTACGCTCGTTTAGGGTTTAGGGTTTAGGGTTTAGGGTTTGGGGTTTAGGGTTTAGGGTTTAGGGTTTAGGGTTTAGGATGCAAGGCGATTGGCCCCTTGAGATGATGTGTTCTCTTTCTGCTATTTTATTCGCTATACGTTTTTCTACTTTCAATGCTGCAGCAGCAGCAGCAGCAGCTGCTGCTGCTGCTGCTGCTACTGCTGCTGCTGCTA